ATGTTTTTGAATATCCATTAAGATCTGATTAGATTTTTTTCTATTATTTAAGAAAAAAAATTATTATTAAAGGGTGTTTTTTAACAGTTTTAGGATTTAAAATTAAAATAAAAGAAATACAATTTGACAAAGTTAGTCAAATATTTCATTATTCTACAATATAAGTATATGTAAATGAAATTGGATGGCATTAATAACGATGAATGCTTCCGCTGAATTTTCCGCTGAATTATCTTCTGAATAATCTGCTATAGAAACATCCTTAATTTTAGCGTTGGAGTTCTAGTTTTTCATGACTTCGTGGAATATTTAATATTGTGTCTAGAATCACTCTAAATTTCTTTTAATAAATTAATGTCTTGAAATACTTCCACATAAATGTTCAAACAGTAGGAAATAGTACGATTCACGGAGGCATGTCATAATTCCATTTCTGCAGGTAATATAATCATCTAACACTTTCTTAATAACTCCTTGATTTTTTAGACTTCATAAAATGTAGCATACTTATTGAAACTTAAAGTCGTATAGAGCATAAGCGTTCAAGCAATTATCTTTTTTTGATACCATGGATAAAAGTAGTTCATTCTCCTGAAAAGGTGTTCAGATAATATAAAAAAACGTTCTACTTCCCCCGCTAAGTAAAAATGAACTAACCTGATAAATCTATAAACTAGGCTCTATATTTTTGCTCCTATTGCGTAGAGCCACTCCCACGGCAAAAGTTGTTGTGGGGTATAGACGAACTCTCATTCTCATTTATTATATAAAAAAACAATAAAGAAAAAAAATAATTTAAAACCTTAATGTTAGTAAAATAAATAAAAAAGAAGTTTTTTAATTCATTTGAAATATTCAATTAGTTTATATTATAATTAAAATTATTTCTACTTCACAAAGCAATTATCACTCTAAACCTTACGTATGTGATTATGATCTTCTGTGAAAATAAGAAACTTTGCATTGGGACTTTTTCTGAACCTAGTAAATCAAATTTGAATAAAAATAAGACTATTAAGTAACTTATATTCAAAATAGTTTTGTATTTCCCTTTTTAATTCTTTTTGGAATAATAGACTTTTATTCTATTTAATTTTAGAATTTTTATTTTTCATTGTAGCAATTAATTTATTTTAATTAATTAAATTTAATTTATTGAATTAATGGTGGCAGGTATTCTATGTACATATATATTATTATAAAAATTTTTCAAAACTATCTGAACAGTGAAGTAATATTTGGATAGATTTAAAGTGGAAGCATTGTCAAGTAGGCCCTCATTTGACCAAATCTATGCTTCTAACATATTCTGGTTTTACAGAAGTTTATTATAAATTTAATTAACCCATTAATTAAATGTTTTTCTCCGAAGCTCAAGATCGTTCATAACCCCTTGTTATCTGTTACCGACAAATAGAAACTGTACAATTCGTACACATATATTAAATAAGTTCAGAAATATAGGAAAAGAAATTATTACTAGAATATTAAAGTATTATAGAGAAAAAACATATTATATTATTCTTCTCTCTTTAGAAAATTGAATCGGAGGTGCAACAGTATGTTGCAGACTTATTCATGATGCGTACATTGCTTGAAAGTATTGTTCCAGCTATTTGCGGCATTTTTATTGGTTCTTGGTCTGATCAATATGGACGAAAACCCTTACTGATAATAGCAATGATAGGTAATAAAAAATACAACCATATTTAGGCAATCTGTATATAATATTGTTTACTTTTTTAAAGGATTTTCTTGCACATTTATTATAACAGCCATTATATGCGAAATATCTTCGTATTATCCAGTAAATCCATGGTACTACATTTTAGCTGCAATGCCTCACTCATTCTTAGGAGGAAACTGTGTTCTTATGGTAGCAGGATTCTGTTTTATATCTGATGTCACTGATACAAAGACAAGACCTTATAGGTGAGTACATAAAACACAATATATATTGTGATAATATATATTGTGATAAATATAAATAATTTATATATATTATAATTGTGATCGTACATTAATCGTCAATATGTATTATTATTACAAATGTATTAATATTGATATATTATGTATAATATAAATAATCTTGTAGAATATGTATGTTCTATTTAATACGTATTTTTAAATATTTTACAGAATGATCTTTATAGAAGTGTACATATTTATTGGTTTTACTACTGGTGCATTACTCTCCAGTTATTTATATGAAGCAACGAGTGCAACCACAGTATTCTCAATATCTGCATTTTTCATAATTAGTGCAACGCTTTTTGTAATTTTCTTTATACCAGAAAGTTTAGACTACAAGTTGGATAATGACGAAAATGAAAAAGATATAGAAAACAAAACTAATGATATGCAGTTATGTTGTGATAAAGCGAAATCTACTTGTGGTAATACAAAAGCTATATTTACTCAAAATTTAGGAAGTACAAAAAAAGTTGAAAATAACGAAAAACCCATACAGGAAGAAAAACCTAAAGGCAATAAATTTTCTAATATATTCAGTTATCAGCATATTAAGGATATGATAAACACTTCATTCAAGAAACGTCCTTGCTATGATCGCTGTATTATTTGGCTTCTGACTAGTGTACTCTTCATTGGAGTTTTTGTGGGTGGTAGGCAAATCAAGATGCATTTGTTTTTTTTAAATTATATACTTTTTTGTTTTGAAATTATAGATGGCGCTATGACCGTGTTCTATTTGTTTGTGAGGGAAAAGTTTCATTGGACTGTACGTGAATTTACATTTTATGAAACTGTTAGTCATATGACACCAATGTTTGGAGCTTTAGTAGGATTTCTTATATTAAGAAAGGTAATGATATAAATATGATATCGTTATTAAATTCTCGTATATATTTTTTTATATGAAATATTGAATTAGATTTAAAAAAAAATTTATTTTAAAATTATTATTTTAAATTTTTATCTACTAATATGCATTTTCAAAAGTTTTGTTTCTATTTTTGTCCTAGAAATGTATATATTTTTATTATTGATAATATCTGTGGGCTTAAGTTGTTGGCAAGGTACTTGTTACCATATTAGAATCAAAGTTACCATGTCATTAGAATGAGCCCGTCTGAGATTAGAAAATGTGGTCTTAGCTTGAAAGGAGATGAAACTCATTCTTTAGTTACGGACTTTTTACTGTATCCTGACTTTAAGGAATCCTCAATGAGAGATACTTTGGAGTGCATTCGAAAGGTTGAATTGGTTGTTAATTGATAATCATTTATCTATTTGGCTATATCATGTGTTAATAATTACAACAATCGATTAAGACTTGAATATATCTGTAATAAAAATCTTTTAGAACAAGTTCTAGTATCTAATTTATGAATTTCAGTATATATTATAAAATGAGTCATAATTAAATATTTAATGTTAACATTTTCAAATCCAAAAATTTGTTCTTTAATTATATAAATTTTTTGGTGGCTCATATTACTGATGCAAATACCGTTCAATATCCATTATTTGTGACATTTGGTAACACCTGTTGGTCTAGTTCTTCGTATATAATTTTTTATTTATTTGAAATTTTTTTTTTGTTATAATTTGTGAATAACTTTAATCAGATTTATATCTTTGATATTTTAAAGTTTTAGTGACTTCTTGCTTAGGGCGTTATTTTAACAAATAATATAAATAAATAATATAAAATACATTATATAAAAAATTTTATTATTACTAATTATTATATAATTAATTATTTTCAATTAATTTATTTTTTATATTATATTTTGTTTTAAAGGTTTTCAAAATGTCAATCGTTGCAGTGGCTATAGTGTCATATGTAAGTGACATAGCTGCAAGTTTTGCAAGAGGTTTTGCTAGCGAACCTTGGCATCTATATTTGGCAACCGCATTAGGTTCCTTTAGATCTGTGGGTCCACCAATGTGTCGTACAATTGTCTCAAATATAGTGCCTGCAACTGATTTAGGTAAATAATAATATGTAATAGTTTTTAAATGGATGCAAAAATAATAATTTTTAATTATTTTAGGCAAAATATTTTCTATTAAAAATGTATTACAATCCGTAGCACCTTTTCTAGCTGCTCCTCTATATACTTTTATTTATAAACAGTCTCTATCAAGTTTCCCAGGTCTATTTAATTTGGTGAGCGTGGGATTTTATGGTATTGCACTAGTATGCCTTATGTAAGTGTTCAATATTCTCAATGATTTTAGTTTTAAATGTAATTAAAATAATACCATATATATATTATGTCTTATTTTTAGTGTTGTTCTACGGTTTAAGTATACTCATAAGGAACACTATGCAAAAATCTTGAAATAAATAATAAATGGGATAGATAAAATATTTGTTGATATTTAATAATATCTTGATAATAATAAGTTGATAATATCAACTTGATATATAAAATAAAATTAAATACTAAGAAAAAATTTAAATAAAAGAAAAGTTTTATAAAGTTTATTTTAATTATGTTTTATTTAATATTACAGTTTATTTTTAATTATATTTACAATTCATATTGAAAGTTTAAACTTTATAAATTATTAATAATTAAACATTAATCAATAAATTTGTACTTTTCACTTTTTACAAAATTTTAAAATAATTTTAGCATTATTAGAATTATTTTTACAAAATAATAAAATAAGTTGTACAATTTTTTTTATTAAAAAACTAATTCCTTTTTTCTCCTTAATATTAATTATTTACACATAAATTTTTGGGGGTTCCTTATATTGAAGCATACAGTCTTTATATAGGAAATCCAACTAATATTCAGTATCAAGTAAATCGACATTTCTATTAAACTTTATATTATATATAATAATTACTGATACAGTCTAATAATTTCGTTAAAGGTTATGAAATTAATAAAATTATATTAAACATATAATACTTGTAATTAAAGAGGATATTTTAAAATAACCAAGAAAATTTGAAATGTTTATTGTTCGAAAATCAAGTTATAACAAACTTTTAATATAATTAATAACAATTCTTCAATATTTTTATTTACTTCACAAACATAAAACGATTACTTTCTTATATCAATTATTACTTATGCAAAAATATATGAAACTACTAAAACTTTTAGGAAGATTTCATCTAGTATAGATGGCGCGTTTTAGTTCCGAAAGAAAGTCCTCTGAAAAATATTTTAGGAGAGTGAATTTTATCTTCGAAGTTCGAAGATAGCACGTTCATTTCGCATTGGTATATAATTTTACTTCAACTTTGGTAAATTGCCTACAACGCCAGTTGGCTTACTTTTAAAGTATACAGCACTAAAATTAAAAATATTTCTAGATTTTGTTTAAAATTAATTCACTAACTTATACTTACATATATGGAATTAAACACATTATATATACACCCACTCCAATAAAATTGTAAACACCAGGATCTGTTTTGAATGTGGCATTGTAAACAGCAGTGTAAATTGGTGATGATATTAATGGTGCTATAGCTTCCAATGATGTGGTCAAAGCAAAGATTTTAGCTAAAAATAAGAAACATTGATATAAGTTAGCAAATATGTATATAATATTGAAATGAAATCAATTATGTACTTACCAGTTTCATTAGCTGGTGAACAAAGAGACAGTATGGCGCGTAACATAGCAGTTAAGACACCACCCATGAAACCAAGCGCCATAGCTAAATAGATTTCCCAAGACACTGCTGCAACACCACTTACTAAGCATTGCAAAGTACTGGAGACTAATGCAATTATAGAGACAGTCACAAGCGAAATTCTGAATACCTAAAAATCAAATATAATAAATGTTATTAAAATATAAATATAAATTTTAAAATATATATTACTCTTCGCAATATTATAGTCACAATAATAGCGCCACCGATTTGTACTACAGCAGAAATTCCATTGTATGTGCCAAAATCAGAAGCAGTCCAGTCAAACTTCTTACGCAAAAAGAGATAGGAAACATTGGAACTACCCTCTATAATGAAAATATTGTTAGAAGCCAATAATTTGAAATGAGTTTATTTATTAACTAACGTGTAACGAAAGCTGCAATAGTTGCTGAAAGAATTGTTATCCACATTGTAGCTCGATCGTAGTTACGACGTGGTTTAATAGATGTGCGCACGAAGTCCACCACCAATTCCAATTGGAAGAAAGAACGAATTTTAGACTGTAAGCGGTAAATATATTATGTATCAAATAATTTTGAGAGTGTGGATATAATTATTTTCAAATATACCTCATGGCTTATATTCTCCGGCTCAATACTTTCTACCAATACAAAGTAAGCATAGATTAATACAGCAGCCGAACATGCTGCTGAAATGCCAAAAATTGTTACAACATTTGTTACTTCATATAAATAACCACCACAAAGATTGCCCAAAGCTGTACCGGCTCCAAGAGCAGCCTCATTTAACATGAAACTGTAAAAGTTAAATAAATTTTTATAGATGACTGCTACTATTAAAAACAGATGACTTGACTTTACCGTTTTGCTCTATCTGTTTCCGAAGCGACGTCTGATATATATGCGTAAATGCCTGTAACCATTACACAGGTACTACCAGTTATAGCAACGGGAACTGAAGCGATTATATACAGCCATGGACTGAATGCGGAGTTTATAGCAACGCCAGCTAATATTGTTAAAATGGCAAAGTTAATGAAATAACCTGAAAAGAATTAATTGTTTTAATTATTGCAATGAATTACTATAATTTATTATATATTTATCATATAAAATTTTAAATATTCTATTTTCTTATAAATTTTATTAAAACATTATTAATTAAGTTTAAATGTAATTTATAGTTTAAAAAACTTTGTACATATATATATATATATTTATATGTATATATATATGTATATATATATGTATATATATATGTATATAATATATTGTTTATTGTACTTTTTATGCTTTTTATAATATATTGTTTATTTTTTTTTGTTATACTTTTGTATTATATTTTACATATATATATTATAAATATAAAATGAATTATTAAAAATAATTTAATAAAATGATTACGAAATTAAAATATGAAAAAAACATAGAAAAGCGTAATATATAAAAACAAAATAAAAAATAATATAAAAAAAAAATAAATTATAAATAAAAACTAATAAATTGGAATAGTTACTTGTCTTGTTATTTATAGTATTTTTTTTTATAAAAACCTTTAGCATTATATTACGAATAAATAAATTTTGACCAATAATTACACTTGTGATGATATCAAAATTATATATAAAAAAATATACATATAAACAAAATGTATATAAAAAATAATATATAAAAAAATATATATATATAAAAATTTATAAAAAAAATATATTAGTATATTAAATTATAAATATCAATAATCAATAATTTGGTATAGTTATTAGCTTATTTATTTTTTAGTATCTAACAACATAAATAATACTAAAAACAAATAAAAATTAACTAATAAAAAATTATTTTTAATTAATTTTAAATCATTGTATATAAAATGATCAATATTGAATTATATGATTCTATATTGCTATATTGCACTTACCAGAAAAAGTAGCTAATATAACAAATCGACGGCCGAACTTATCTGACCATGGACCAACGAATAAACTCAATATTGCGGGTATAAGTGCAGTAATAAGCGACTTGGCCAAAAGAATATTCGAAACATATGGTTGTACATCATCCTCAATTTTCTAGAATTCAAATAAAAAATATTTTTTTAAATTGATGATTGACTACATGATAACTACACACATTATTTAAAAACATAACCTCTACTAAAATATTTATACATAATTAATTATAAAAAAATAATACCATATTACAAAATACAGTAATATTTTTTTTTGTTTTTGGTATGTAAACACTTTCGTTATCAAAGCATTATGGAAAGCCCCCGCTCTATTTAGAAACACAGGTGTCGCAAGCCTTTTTGTGCACTAAAGCCCTTTTAGCGTACAAGGTTAGCAGTAATTTTTGGTAAAAGCTAAATAAATATATAATTTCAAATAATTTTTAACAAATTTATAACTGAACATTGAGTACAAAAAAATCAAAAGAAATCAGTACGTGAAATTATATCAATAATTTTTATTGAACACTTCATTTAATTAAAGTATTAATTGATAATTATTTTTTTGATAACACATTAAAGCGTTCGTGATTAATTGTAGATAAAAGGCATTGACAGTAAGTGTTAAGAGTACAAATGTGCTTAAAAATGAATTTATATATTTCCTTTTTGTTATTAATTTCAATGAAAATGTTTTTGTTTAAATATTACATATTACATACACGTGTTGAAGTTGCATAAAATTTTGAAGTTGTAAGTTGTAAAATATTTCTGAAATATTGCAGTTAAAATAAGCTTAGGAGTGATAAATTGAAAGAAAAAATATTAATAAAAATGTCTGTAAAATGACGTTAAAGTCTAATGTTGGGTCTTTTCCGAGTTAGTGCACCTGGGCACTTTTACTCTTTGTTAGCTGGGAGGTTTCTGCAGAGTCTCACCCATCTCACTTACGTATTCCTCGTAAGCTTCGTGATTATTCAATGACCTATCTAAGATCTGCGTACCGCCCCGTCCGATTAATGTGAGATCTCATGTAAATCAATAACAGAATTATATTACGGCCGTGTGCGAGTTCGAGTTAAATAGAGATAAAGTAAATTTAAATTTCCTAGGTATTTCTTGTACTGCACTTATGTAAATATTTATTTATTTATTTATCGCAATTATATTATATTAAACATTTTTTAAAATTTTTCACAATAGTAACATTTAATTTACCTAATTTTTTTTTTTAGTTTACCCTACTGGTAATTCTGGTAAATATCAATATTCGCTGCCATACCGACATCATTTAGTGTTTCCCTAAATCTTTTAAAATTTTCACAATGTTAACATCTAATTTACCTAATTTTTAATTAATTTACCCTACTCGAAATTCTGGTAAATACCAACATTCGTTGCGATACCGACTTCATTTAGTGTTTTCCTCAATTTAGCATCAATTTGTTCGAACTCGCATACGGCCTACATTTAAAAAATGTTAATCTTACAGTGCAAGCAATATGAAGCTTCACTGATAAAGCGTAAGCGATTAACTTGAGATCTCATGTAAATCAATAACAGATTCATGTTAAATTTAGAGAATGTTAAACTTACAGCGCAAGCAACATAAAGCTTCACTGTAGTGAAGTGTGCATGATCGTGAAATGCTGCGTAAGTCAGAAAGAGCAATGGCATGCATATTGAACTGTTATTGTTTGTAAATATAGGTTTTGTTTACATATTTTTATTTTGCTTTTACTATTTCTTTATGCATAATTAATCTTTTATTATCTTTCTGCAAACTTTCATATGAAATTTTTACGCATACGTCTTTATAGATCTGTAGCAAAAAGTTATTTACGAGTATGTGTGAGAGTTTCATTAACATAGCATCGAATTAGTACCAAGTGAAGCAATGGAACATTTTTAAGTATTTATCTCGGTTTAATACAACATATAAAGTTCACTATAAAACATATATGTAAATTTTACCTTTGATGTGTTTGTTTCCTGAATAACACCCAACAATGGTTTGCAGTCTTCAGCACTGTGTCCGAAGGTATAAGTACATGATTGATAAAGCAATTGGTTTTGAAAGACCGTGCCTGCAAAATTTGTACACAATCACATAAATAATAATATACACATTTCAGTATTTAAATTTTAACACACTTGCAAAATATATAGCAAAAAATATTAAAAATGTGGGCGGCTCCAAGATAAAACTGCGTTTTCGTAGTTCAGTTTTCGGTTCCAATGGAGTAGTAATATCATTTTCGTCGTTTGCTGCAATGGCAGCATCAAAATTTTGCATTGTTTCAGCGGCTTCCACATCAAAACCGTATGTGATATCACGATTTTGTTGAGACATTTTGATTTTTCTTTTTTTATTTTATATTGTACGTTATTTACAAGTTTTGCCGTAAAGTTCGCACAATTTATTACACTTCACCAAACTCAACCGTTCACGTCTGCCGCTAAACTGAAGACAACTACTCAATTCTCTCTGCTTTTAAATAAAAACCAAACTTTAGTGTGAACATATATGTTCGCTTCGAACAGGTTCGTCGTTCGCAGAGACTGATAACATACACTGGCGTAATGACTCATGTTGCCGCTCTAGATACTAAATCCACGATTTAGAATGAGAATGATGAGTAGCTACCGACTACTCTGTTGGGGATACTGATAAGAAAGCTATGGTATGACAAATTACCAAAAATTAATCGAACAAATTGAGTTGAAGAAAGTGAATCATGGTACTCGAAATTTGATTTCATACTAAAGAACATATGTTTTTAGAGTCCTAATATGAAAATTGTTTAGACGGTTTCGGAAAAAATGCAGAGGTTAATGAATATTGGCACACTTATTTGTTTTGAATTATTATCTATACAATATTTTGGTTTTCAATTGCTTATCAATATTATTCTCACAAATCTGTACACTTAATTGGCTATTAAATTTTCTAGTATCATAATTGTTTATCGATTAGCCTAACCGTAACCATAAAACGTTATTACTAATAATAAAAAAAAATTTCTTTGTCTAAAGTCCACAAAAATTATTGTGGTAGGTTATAGATTGTTGGGGTATTCTATTGTACATGAAATTTAGTCATAGATATTGTTATATTATTTTTTTTTATATCACTACAGTTATCATTCTTTAATAATTGCATTTTTTTTTGAAATAATATACCATTTTTAGAGCTTCGTGAGAATTTCGGAATAACACTTATAAAACAGAACACTTTCTTCGTAGTGTTCTATTCTTTAGATTTATTTATTAAATATTTATATTGTAATAGTGTACTTTGAACAAGTGAACCAGTAACATAAAATTAAATGCGGCTTTATTATGGACTTCGCAATCAGTTACAAATATTAGCACATTTTTCATCTTTTTCTATCTCTTCAAATTATTCTTCAATCTTTGACAGTATCTTCACTTTTTTCAATATTTTTAATCCTTTTGGTGCTTGGTGTTTGATCTGTATCAAATGCTAGGTATCTACCATATTTTTTAAAATTAACAGTTTTCTCAATATTTCAAATCATTGGGTGTCCTAAATATTTGACTAATTTTTGGATACCGGCTCACTCGCAGGTATTTTTTTTTTATTACATATATCCTTTACAAGGTTTACATGATATAGACTACATGACGTAAACTTTCTGCTTATATTACATACATATTCTATTTACCGTAGTGTTTACAACATTACTTAGTACATTCCTAGACAGGACCTTATCTGTTGCATTTTTGAATATTTTAAAAAATTTTTAAAAGAATTTTTTTCTCTCACGTATAAGTAATCTATAACCTATTTTTTTATTTAAACTACTTTTTTCGATGAAAAGCACAAATTTGCTAAAGCGTATGAGTAACATTATTTGATCTAATCTTAATGAAATACCCATCACGTTAATAGTTAAGTTGTAAATCAAAAATTAGCTTATACAACATCCTCATTGTTGTTGTAAATTTGTTGTTTCAGTTAATTAATAGAGTACGCATTTGTATTTTTGCTAGATTTTGTTTTGTAATTAAATTTGCCTTCAACTAAATATTCTCAACTTAACAACTCTATTATTATTTTATTGGTGTATTTAGGTAAATACACCACTCTTAGTAAGAGTTTAGGGCGGAAAGTTAACACCTCTAATGTACTATAAAATAAATGAATAATATAATAAAAATAACAATAATAAATATAATTAATAACGATTAATGAATAAAAAATCGAGAATAAAATATCTAATAGGTCTAAAAACTCTTAAAAAAAAATTGTATAAGCCTTTTCAATATTAAAAAAACGCGAAAAATAAAATAAAATTCAGTATAATCTTATATAATAAAAATATTAACCGTAAAAATAGTTAAAATATGTATAAAACTTTTAATTTACTATAACCAGTCTTAAGGTCGTATTTTATCAAATTGAAAAATAATGAAATCAATTTTTCAAATAATGAAATAGTATTTTTAATTTAATTAAAATTAAATTAATTTTGTACAATATTTTGTTAAATGTCTTTTTTCGTATTTATTAGTTTAAAATATTTTTAAAGCTTATTTTAAATAAAAATAAAAATAAATTTAGCAATAGACTTTTTAAAAGAAATTTAATTTATTTTCAATAAAGAAATGAGATACAAACCGGTTAAAATAAATTATATTTAATTTAACGTTCAAAATAATTCTTATTTTTAATATAAATCATTTTCCAATATTAATATATATTAGAGGATGGATTTCTGGTTATTAATATGAGTGCAATATATGCAATTATGTTAATATTGGATAATTCCAATTCGAATACTGTATGAAGCATTTCATACGTTTATATTCTTTTCTAAGTGTTCGCGTTATATACATATAATAATATTTTTATGGTATTTGACTTTAGTTATATTAGAAACCAAATGGTTACAATCCTTTACATTAATATAATTTTTTTTTATTATTATGTTGAAGCTATTTGAGCCAGTGCACTTAAGCACTTTTACTCTTTCTTAACTTGAGGTATTTTCAAAACCCCTCTCTTTACACTTTGACTAGATTATTGTTTATCACTTCATCAGACTAAGCAATAATTGACCGCAGATCTGCATAACTCCCCGAGGAACCTGTAACCATTCTGAGATTCGATAACGCAGTGTTGATAAGCCGGTCAGTTTTCGTATTAAAATATTATTCCGATATTTCAACTATCTTTGTTTGATTTTATTATTCTTGTGCATGTCTTAAATAATAAAAAGAAACTTAATTTTTATATAAATTATAATAAGAATAAAAATTTATAAGAATTTTTATAAGAAACAGGGTTAGATTATATCAGGATAATTAAGGATTAGGATTAATTAATCTCTTAATGAAGAGATTGGATATTAAACAAATTTAACACATTAAAGCTGTATAAATAAAAAAACCAATTCATTTTTAAATGATATATTTTATGTTTAAATAAACATAATTGTTATAAATTAAATTTGACACTCATAAACTGACACTGATAAGCAATTTTTGATTTTTTGCTGTGTAATGCTTCGTTAACATTTTCTGAATGAATCACATTCGAAGGGGAACTTTTCATTCATTCACTAGTTTTCCAGCATGACTTTTAAGTTTTAATTGATTAATTTCTTCGTCGAAAAAATTGGCTTTAGTACATAAAAATAATCCTATTCTTTAGGTTTTTGTTTTCTAAGAAATTTTTAGTTTTTTTTAACATAAAAGAAGGATTTAACTAAGCCATCATTTTTTATTGTTAATAGTTCAAAACTATTAATCTTTCTGTTATTGTTGAAAATGAAATCTATAAAAGATATATCTTATAAAGCCCTAAACTATGATTGATTAGAATTATTAATCTTTTTATTCTCGTAAGGGATATCCACAAAAGATTTATTTAATAAAGTACTAATTTGTTTTTTTTTTATAATGTACTAAACATATTATAGCAATATATTAATATTGTTATTGTTATTGTTAGCAATATATTAATATTGTTATAATATATTTATTTAAATATATTTAATTAATAACGCACTAATTTATTTTTTTTCTATAATGTACTAAATATATAGCAATGTATTAATATTGTTATAATATAGTAAAGTGCGTGCTGATAGTAATCTAATAATATTTTTTTTCTTTAATTATTAAACATATTTATCATAATGTCTACAATAGCGATATGATTTGGAACATTATATATACATATTAGATATTAAGAAATACTATAAAATTTGACTAAAATAATATTCTTAGGTAATTTTTATTAGGTAAATTTAAATCAAGTTTTTAGAGGTAACAAATAAACCATAGCGGACAACACTATTTTGCTTTCTAATGTGAATGCTTGCTTCCAAATACCAAATTTCGAGAACCAGCAGGGTTACCTTTACTTCTGCTGCGTTCTCAATAATAATCGCCTGTCTTTTTTTTTATCAAATTTTTTTAATTGCAATGAAGACGTCAGTTATATTTTTTATAGTTTTTTTCAATATACTGATTTAGTAACTGATTACAGATTACAAAGATGTTAACAGCTTAATACCATACCGACGACAGACTAATTGCACATTTAGTAATACTTGTTATTATTTTCAATTTTACAGGTGGTTCATGTTCCTCAATATTCTTCATATATAGATCCTGAGTTACATCGATACTAGATGAGACTAACGTAGATTTAATTTCTTATTTACTTATATTACTTATATTTGGTTGTTGTTACTTCAACACTTTGGATTTAAAATGATAGTCTTAGTTGCTTTACGTAGTCGTGAAGGTTTAACGATACGGATTCTCAACACACTTATCAAGGCTAAAAACGCTCTATTGGAAATAATTTCGCCGACACCCATTGAAATGATCTGTTTGAACATAAATTTCTTTTTGTTGAAGTACGGCTCATCTAAAGCTCTGCTGTTCTTGGGATCACGAAACCCGGTTGAATAAATGTAACTCCACATCAAGTGAAAACATAAGCACCAACACTTTTTCTGCCTATCTTTAAGTATTAACCACATCCACCAAAATACTCCTTTACGATACCAACTAAGTGTTTTCAGGACAACCGAAGATGGAAGAACTTGGATCCTATGATACTAGATTTTACGACAGTTGGGGTGTCTCGGGTAAAAACGCAGGTAGTATCAACTATTCTTCAAAATAGTACAGATTGGTGCGTAATTATTGCTGCTTTCTTAAACGTATGAGTTACTTCGGAAATATTCTAACTCCAATTTTGAAAGCGGTGTAAACCAATGTATGTCGTAATGTTTTTGTAACTTTTTATAATTATTTTCTGTACTAAGCCAATCCGTTTTTTATTAGAAGTGTTAAAAATCACACAGAAGACTATTTATTGTGGGCTTTAGGATACTTAAAATATTTGCCTTAATTTTAGTCCAACTTTTGATGATACCTTTCCACATGGATTTAGCTTAAGTA